ATGTACTCTGAAGTTTTCTTCTATCCGATATAAAAGACGTAATTATCTTTTTGATGATAACAAAAAGGGGGAGAAGTATAATAATTTTGATTAACCTAAAAATGCAAAAACTCATCATAATGAATGAATGATATAAAATGATATGCATTTAACCACTAACGTGTGATTGTCTGTTTGATAATTAACCGAGGAACTATGAACAAGTTCAATAGGCATTCTAAGACAGGTCAAATGAAAGAACTCTTTTAAAGTTATTAAAAACTGATTGATCACATATTAGAAGATGTATACTCTTTGAACATATGTTCAAGAATCAGATAGACCCAATACAGTTCAGAAGTTGAGAACTTTCTGAAAGTTAAAGTTATCTTGATTTTGGTATCATAATGTTCAGAAGATATATCATGTCTGAGAATGTGATAATCAGAACATAAGAATCAAAAGCAGAAGCATATGTATTTACTCAAAGGGAACCAGGGGGAGTCTTTACTCAAATGGTTCAGAGTCAGGATATTCGATCTTCATAAAGTCATTGACTCAGGGGGAGTATCAGAAAAAGGATAAGCATTTCTTACCCTTCTAACTTCACAAATTATGATTACATGTACAAAATTGTGTAATCAAAATACATAGTTTTGCCATCATCAAAAAGGGGGAGATTGTAAGAACAAGATTTGGTTCTACAATATTATCTCTGAGTTTTGATGATAACAAATGAGTATGATTGTATGAACAATTTTTTTATACTAATGTTTGATATTGTTGAGTACTTAACAAACATGTTCTGCTTCTGATGGATGGCGTGGCCAAGATATTAGAAGAGAAATAGTTCTGCTTCTATGCTACATAAATTCTGTTGAACAATAGCAAGACACTCCAGAAGGCTCTGTAGTATAAACTCTGATATTTGTCTGAAGAAACAAATCAAAAGATCTGAAGACAGAAGTTGTTACTTACGTCCAGATGCTGAAGACTCACGTTTCTAAAAGACGGTGTGTTTCAAGAAACAAAGTTAGAAGATCTGAAGACGAAGTTTCTACTAAAGTCCAAATGCTAAAAACTTAGTTTCTAAAAGACAACTTGTTTCAAAGAAGACAAAGTTAAAAGATATGAAGACAACATTTCTAACTGAAGTCCAGATGCTGAAGACTTTGTGTTTCTAATAACAAGGTTCTGAAGTTAAGGACTCTTAAATAACCAAGTGCTAAAGATTCTAAAAGATAGAAGGTCTGAAGATTCCAAAGACTTGAATTTCTAAAGGTCCAAGGTTATCTACAAACAGGTTCTGAAGACCAAGTGTTGAAGACTCTAAAGACGCAGTTCTTAAGACTCTGAAGACTTGAAGCTCTTCTAATCTAAAGTTTCATTACAACGGGTTTTCATGACCAAGTGTTGAAGACTCTGAAGACGCAGTTCTGAAGACTCTGAAGACTTGAAGTTCTGAAGACCTTATGTTATGTTCTCTATTCTAACCTCATGCTCGCAAAAGCCTCCGAAGTGCAGAAGGAAAGAATATAACGGTAACACAGTTCGAAAAGATTTATGCCACTACCTTTCCACTAACTTAAAGTGTGGAAGAGATAACAACGTCATATTACTATTTGTAACGACTCTTTTTCAAATAGCTAACGACTCTATTTTACATGGTTATATAAGAAAAGAATTGTATGTTAAAGCAGGTTGTTGGTTGGCGTGTTGGTTGTTCTTGGTTAGCTGTTGTTCAACACATGATGCTGAACAAGCTAAACATTGATAAGCTTGCCATAAGTTGCTTGGCTGGGTGCTAAAAGCTGCAAGTTTCAAATCACAGGTTGTTGATGTTCAAGTTAAAAATAAAAGCAGTCACTATAAGAACACAACCAAATCGAAGCAATCATCCACTATAACAAAATGAAGAATTCTACAAGATGTTATTCAATTTACCAATCATATACATCTTGGAAGAATCATGAAGAAGAAAGGAGTTGTTGCTCGTATCTTGTTTAATGAAGAAAGAAGATAAAGATGAAGAATTATTCAAGATGTAATCCAAATCATCAATCACATACATCTTGACAAAATTATGAAGAAGCAAAGAGTTGTTGCTCATAGCTTTCTCAACAAAGAAGATGAAGACAAGAAGACTACAAGATGTTAAACTTATTTTAGATTAGATTCATCTTTGTAGAAATATGTAAAACACAAGAGTTGTTGCTCAAGTTGTGTTATTTCTTAAGATCTTCATGTAAATTGTTTGTACACGAGAGTTGTTGCTCAGAATTGTGTCAAACAATATATACTTAAATTAGGAGTAATCTGCTTGATAAGAAGCACTCATATAATCTCCACAAAAACCATTCTGATTAGAATTGGTTGACACCTCAAGTGATTGATTAAAGATCATAAGACTTGAGAAGACTTTGGTTACGGCCATCGTAGATGAAATCATGGTAGTGGATTCTATTGGGTCAATGGTAGTCATATCTCAAAGGGGACTAGGGTGAAGGCCAGCCTTCTGAGATCACTGATGGATATCATTGGAAGGAAATCATGATAGGAGATTCTGGAGAATCAGATTCTGTTGGGTCAATGAAGGTTATATCCGGTTTGGATCCCTAAACGTTTCATTGGATGTTAGTCACTAGTGGTTTCCCGTGCGATTATAATCAAAATGATTATAGTGGATTAAGTCCTTGAGTTCAAGGTGAAATCACCTCGGAAGGGTGGACTAGATTAGCTTGGGGGTTTCTCAAGTGAACCAGAATATATCACGTGCTCTTTACTTTTGTTTATGTTGTAGAGTTTATGTTTTCTGAACCAAATTAGAAGCATTAATTAGAAGCAAAAATTAGAAGCATTGTTCAATAAATAATGCTTAGAAGCGAAAGTTTTATAAGAAAGGAAAACACAATTCAAACCCCTCATTCTTGCGTTTTCTTCACACCTTCAGGTTGGAGGTAGGTTAAGTGAAGTTTGTGTTGTAACATAATGCGGTTTAGTTTGGTTTGTAAAATACAAACCAAAAATATAATCAAAATGTGCGGTTTTGTTATAAAAAAATAAATCAAACACATCCGAATCAAATACAGTTTTTCGAGGTTTTAGTTTGGTTTGGTTTGGTTTAGTTTAGTTTGTGGTTTTTTATTGGGCTGGTTTGATTTCGAACACCCTAACAAAGGTTTTCTTCCATCTTCTTGTGACTTTTCTGATAAACTTTTAGAGACTTCTTCGGCTCCTCTATCCTTTTCTAGACATGATCTAAAGATCGAGTCACTTATGCTAAAGCAGTCTCCACCTTAGACAAGAATGCCTGGGCGGAAGCCAAAGCCTCGTTTTTCTTAATTACTTCCCAGGAAAGCAACTTCACCTTTTCAACTAGAAGGCCGAGTAATCAAAAGGCTCCACCACAACCTCCTTAGATATAAATGACTTAGAAGCACCTTGGATCTCCTATAGATATATTAATTTCGCTCAATTTCAAGGTCGTTGACCTGTTCTTTGAGCTTTTCCCTCTCTTGTCGGAGAATGCCAGGTAGAAAAGCCTCTCCCCAACCAGCATCCCCAAATGCTAGAAGAGTTAATGCTCGGAGGGCATAATAAACCTGTTCATCCAATTCCCTTTTCCAAGCTTCCTCAAAAAGACCCAAGAAGTTATTAAAATCCTCATTAGAAAATTAATGATTGAAACTCCTTGTATGTCCTAAAGCCATGACGAGCCAGCAACACATGGTCTAACTCTACATAAATAGAAGTGTGCAACTTATAGATCTGAGTCGGGGACACTTACGAAGAGGTCTATCAATCTGAATCCCTTCTAACTTCGGGATGGAACTCAATCTTTCTTCACCTTCCAGCCATGGAGATAGTAAGATATTGTCTAACATGACTCACATAGGGGAAACATGGATCTCATTTGGAATAAGAGAATTAGCCTGGACGGACTTCTCGATAACCGGGCCAAAAGATGTCCTAGTAGGCGTATCTGAGGCAGAAGCTTCCTTGATGGACAGTTTACTCAGAATTCCAAGGAAAGCAGTAATCTCCTGAACCATCCTCCTTAATTGTTGCATAACATCTTCGCTCACCATCAAAATTACACGATTAAGAAAATAGGCATCAAAAGAGATTCAAGAAAATGAAACAGAAAAAATAAGGTTCTGACGCCACTTACCGAAAATTCTCTTTCTTTCCTTCTTTAATTTAGCATCCACGAGTCAGTGGGTTTGAATGCCCATTTTCAACTGGTTTCTGAATGCCATGTCAAATGAGACGAATCCACCATCTCACATCTTACCACATGTTTAGTTGTTAATCGATTCTCTTATTTATAGAAAAAAAATTTACTTTTCACTTTCTTATTAGCGTTGAAATATAAACCTTTTGACCAATTCCTCTCCATCATATCGAAAGCTCAAAACCAAGGCAACAAACCTTGTAAAGAGAAAGCAAGGTGGCCAGAGATGAAAGATTGGCCGCATATGATTCTTTTTTTTTTGTTGTTGGCATTTTTCATTATTTTCCTCCAATTTTACAGGTGAGAATATTCTAAAAAATTGTTTTAATGGCCGGGGAATCACTTTTCAGGGTTAACAGGCATAAAACTGAAGTATAAGCCACCATCGTTGTCATATCATTCTACTTCAATGTTAAAAGACATAAGGCACATAATGTATAAAATACCCATAAAAAAACCATTATTGGAGAATCTATTCAGCAAGTAGTGAAATACTAGTATTACACACACAACTTTGATACACATCAAATAACACAGACAGCGACAAAATCCAAATACATACTTTGCTTTTTACTAATAATGTTGAAATTTATTTTCAGAAAAATATACTTTTTTTTTCAAAAACTTTTAATTACTAAGAATAATTTTTTCGAACACAAACAAACTCTAGAAATATCCGCAACCATCAAGACGTTGTCTCATTATCATTAGTCTCGAAACGCATCTTCAGCCGAATTCCTATCTACAAGACGACGCCGTTTCGCCGGTTCACCGGTTCAATCAGTAATCATGGTTGACGTTGAGAATCGCTTCTCCAGAAGCCGGTTCCCGCAAACCGGGCCCACATCTCCTTCTCTAACGTAACCTCCTCCGATTTCTCATCGGCCGAACGATCTTTGAATCGCTCCTCCAACGAAATCGAATCAACTCTAAAACCATTCCCAGCGACGCTACTCGATCTCTGCTGCTGCAACAAAACGACATCGTTCACGTTCAGGCTCTTCCTAACGCTAACGCCGTTTTTCATTATCCGACGCCGTCTCCGATTCAACGCCTTCCGGAAAAGTCCAGCCGGTACTCTGTAAACAGCCAATACGACGAATTCGAGAATCGCGCAGGGACAACAGCAACAGACGGCGGTGCATTCCGCTGCCGCGCCTCCTGCCACCTCACCGGCGCCGCGATGTTTACGTCGCTGCGACGGCTGTGGACGGTTGAAAATTTGATTAGTCATCTGAGGTTAAATGATAATTATTGATTCTCAAGAGAAAGAGAGTGATTGTTCATGATGGATGATAATTTTGGAGAAGAATGTAAAAAAAAAAAATGAAGAGAGATGACAAAAGAGAGAAGAAAAAAAGTATATATATATATATATATATATATGGAGATGAATGATTATTGGAATAAGGAGCGAGTGTTTAGGGAAATATCGTAACGTGCTGGCAATTGAGAGGGTAGGGAAGATTTTCTGTGTAGATGAGTGGTGGACGCGTTTCGTAATGATAAGATTAATGATAATGGTGATTTAATTAGAAATAACCGTAATTGATGTGAAAAGAATCTTTCGTTTTAACTTCAATCGATTCCACTTACTTGATTAATCTTTTTTTTCTTCTTTACTTGATACTAGTAACTACTAACTAGTAAGTGCTTACCAAAACAATCACTTTTGAAAAAAGAAAATATCACTACTAAAAGATTCGTATCATCACGTAAATGAAAACAAATCATCAATATTAAAAGATACGGTAAATCTCGTACTTTATCAAAATTGATATTTAAATATAGAAATGAATGTTATATTTTTAATTGTATTTTTTAATTATTATTTTTTATTATTCTTAATATATAAATAAGATTAATATAATAAGAATTTAATAACTTACGACAATATTATTATATTTTTATATATATACAAAAACTTTAAATAAAAGTAATTTTTAAACAAAGAGAATACATGTAAAAAAAAGTTTACTAATGTTTTATCATGGGAATTTGAAAGGTAGTTTGTTTTATCTTTAAAAGAAATGAATCTTTTATCTTATTTTAAATAATAATTTTTAGGGAAAATTTTAAAAATAATAAAAGTTATTTTTAACTTATTTTTTATAAATTAAAAAAAAATTAATTTTGACTTTAAGTAATATAAATATATATTCTTGAAAATCAACACAAGTATTTCTTTCTTTATAAATGTGTGATGAAAATATGTCTATATGCAAAGTATGACATACAACTAATCCATTGGTTTTTGACTTGCTATGGTAACAAGGAATGCTTGCGCAACACTGAATCAATTTTAATCCACAACTTGGACCAACCTCTATTAGTTATCTTCATAGCATTAATGATTGTATTGAACTTTGCAATATCTAAAGAAAACCAATGGACCTTGTCAACAAAAGCAAGAACAAAGTTGCTTTGATTGTTTTAGAACATTCTACCATAACCTGCGGGAAGAAGATCATGGTTGTATGCACCATCACAATTGCATTTCAACCAATCAGGAGAGGGAGGGTGCCATATAACTTATGTTATTTGAGGAGCTCTAGGGGCCTTAACGGTAAGAATACCATATTGACAAAATGGCAAGATGGTGGTGTCATCATAGTTTGTATTGAGAAAGAGACCAAGCTTCAAATTATCTGCCTCATTAAGCCTTAAAAGAGATCTCAAGCCTAAGCCTCCATGAACTTGAGGCTTGTATATTTTATTCCAAGCTACCATGACAAGCTTCTTCTTGTTAACTGCCCTCACTCTAGATAAAATTCCTAGCAGCTTTTTCAATATCCCTAAGCAAGGCAACATACCATAAATAGTAAGTGATTATGTGAGTAAGCATGCTCTAAATGACTAATTTAACCAATAGCACCGTGCCAGCCATTGATAGAGTGAAACCTTTTCAAGTAGCCAATTTGGAGATAATATTTGTCAATTATAGGTTTGAGGTATAAAGCTTTCATTTTTCCTTTGAAAATAGGCACTCTTAAGTACATGAAACGTCAAGCTCCCCTTGAGAAACCTATCATATTGAGGATGTGAAGCAATCTAGCATGAGAGATGGAACTTGAGTATATAAAAGACTTGGAAATGTTGACTTTTTGGCCAAAAGCAATAGAGTACTTATTGAAAAGATTGATTAGAGCCTAAATGTTAGAGATTGTTACCTTGCAGAAAATTAATATGGCATATGCATACATGACATGAGATGTAATGTAGTTCTTCATATTACTTTTGATCAAATTTAAGGGTCTCACCTCAACTAACTTAACAAGGCGTCTACTTATAACTTCTTTAGCATGACAAAAAAAAAGAGAAGGAGAGTGGGGTCTCCATGTTTGACCCCTCTAGTACGATTGAAAAACCCATGAGATACATTATTTATTGAGATTGACATGAAATTTGAGGTAAGGATGGTTTGTATTCAATTGCAAAAGATAGTGTTGAAACCAAACTTCTTTAGAACATGCATAATAATTACCAACTGATTGTATCAAAAGCTTTTGTGATGTCTACTTTAAGATCTATATTTCCTCCAAAAGCTTTTGTATCCAGTTGGTTAATGACCTCTAGAGAAATACTGTTGAGCACGGATTAGTGAAAACAAGAATAGCCACTGAGAATTTTATCGGGTCGAGTCGCGGTTCAGTACGCTTTCTTTAAGACGTTTCGCCGGATGCCAACAAAGTGCAAGGCAGTCGATAATAGGCGACGTCTCCAGGATAAAACAGCCCGTTCGAATAAAATACGATTATCACTTGCACTGTGATAAATCGTTCGATGAATAACACCTTCTGATGGTGTAGAAACCACTCGTAGTATCTGGCAAGAAGCAGTCGAAAAAAAAACAAAAAAAAACTTGAGATGAAGCAGAATAGAGAGAGAAGAGAGAATTCGAGATATTGAATTCTGGAGTTATTTGCAAATGAAATAAGCACGGATCCAACAAAACGGTTCGAAAAAGTAGGAAGAACGTGTGAGAGGGTGGAATTGGCCCAGTCAAAAGTGACCGTTATTGCTTGGTCAGACAGTCATGCAGTCATGCGTTTTGACTCTTGGAAGGCAAGTAATTGACACGTCACTAATTCCGTAATTAATTAATATTAAATATTAATTAATTTCCACTATTTTTAATTAATTAATGCTAATTAATTCCACCGAATTAATTAATTATTAATAATCATTAATAATTAATTTTTCACCAAAATCCGGTTCAAAAAGTTAATTCATCTAGATCGAACCGAACCGAACCGAACCGAGCCGAGCCGAGCCGAGCCGGCCGGCCGGTCGGACGGACGGACGGCGGCGGCGGCGCGCGCGCGTGTGTGTCTAGATGACTTAGTGGTGTGTCCTCACTCCTTAACAAAATTGGGGTGCCCCTTGGGGCCCAACCCAAGTGTCCAAGTTGGAGTATTTATGCACTACTAAAAGTTGTGTTCCCTCCAATGTGGGACTAAAATGAATCATTTCAAATTCACTCACAACCTAGTTCATTCATGTGCTCATTTATTGCCCATTTAATGTCAATGAATCATTCCAATTCCCAATCCAAGTTATCATCATTCCAAGATTTCCAACAATCCCCCACTTGAATTTAAAAGGTGATTTTAGAGGTAACGTCAGACGTTTCTAAGATTGTGCATAAGCAAAGGTGTCTATGACTTGAACCTTTGCGTAGCAAGTAGGATTCTGATTCAACAAGAGTGACACAATTGTCTTGAACTCTATCTCAGACATCAGACCCGCACACAACCTTTTCTTTAAGGTGTATTCTAATAGTCCGTGCTTTAATGGCCCTGCACGTGTATCCCGGTTTAGTGAAGGCTCTAGGAATTTTGCCTCGCAATTCCATAGGAACCGACCCAAGTTCCACAATCACCAAGGTGAGTCTATCAAGAGTACTCCTGTAGTCTAGGTACTCCCTCATACAGAGTATAGATCTCATTAAAAGTTTCTATTATCTCAACCTCTTATTACTTCAGGAATCATGCTTCTCTTGCATGATCATCTCATATCACTCACAACTTGTTATTACCCATTGAACCTATTTCTTGGGATCTCCAGTCATTTAGGTCGGGTTACCATTGTGAGCAACTCATATTTATATAGGCATTAGTCCCATCTTATATGATGTGTTATAGACTTTCTCTCTAGCTAATCCTTTCGTCAAAGGATCTGCTAAGTTTTCATCAGTGCGTACATGATCCACTCTTACAGCTCCTTTAGAGATACAGTCTCTAATGGTGCTGTGCTTTCTTCTTATTTGACGTCTTTTACCATTATAATAACGGTTCTCAATTTTTGCAATAGCCGCGGTACTATCGCAGTGGATCAACACAGCTGGCATAGGTTTTTCCCATACGGGAATCTCAGCTAGCAAGCATCTTAACCAACTTGCTTCTTCACTAGCTGTGGCTAGTGCTATCATTTCAAACTCCATTGTGGACTGAGCCAGAATGGTCTGTTTCTTTGATTTCCAAGATACAGCACCTCCGGCTATACTAAATATATAGCCACTAGTAGCTTTGGAATCATCTGACAAAGTATTCCAATCAGCATCACTGTATCCTTCAAGTACAGCAGGAAATCTCTGATAATGTAAACCGAGGTTCACAGTCTTTTTAAGATATCTCATGACTCGCTCAATAGCTTGCCAATGTTCATTACTTGGTCTACTAGTAAACCTGCACAATAATCCCACGACATATGTGTTCTGGACTGGGCCCGACAGGCCCAAAAGCATTACTAAGGCCCAGTCCAATGGGACTCACTAAGGACCACAATGGGCAAAGGCCCAATCCAATGGGACTCACTAAGGACCACAACGTCCATGCCCGACACCCTGATGTCCACCTCGACATCTCAGTGTCCAGCCCACGCGTCGAAGTCACGCTCGACAGACTGCCGTCCAGCTCTATGCCATGGCTTCCAGCTCGACATTCGCTGTCCAGCTCGGGGTCTTGGCGTCGAGCTCGACAACATGCTGCACTGCTCGACATGGACTCGAGCTACCTTGCTAGGGCAGACTCAGTCACCATTGCCCCAACGATACTCCGTAAAGACCGCGTCTCTGTCCGCCCGCACTTCACGCAGCACCTCCAGGAAGGGGACCACGTGCTGATCCCCACTACCCACGTAGAACCTGGGTGGCGCCGTCTGTGGGAAACAGCTTCCCCGTCTAACGAACAGTTTTCAAAGACCAAAGCTCAATCCATTCACTGTCATGGCCTC